TTGAACCGCTTCTATAGTTATCTTTCATTCTATGGACTGTGTTTGTAATACTCCCTATTTCCTGCTTTTCTTTATTATTTGCCAGAGCTGCCAGATTGTAATTTTAACCCCCTATTGGCCCATAGTGCTTAATTCCTGTTTAATTGTTTCGCCTCATAAATATAAAATTGGCAAGTTCCCAAGCTATTTCTAATTCACCAAGTACAAATTGATATTATTTAGACTTCCTATTCATATTTGTCATGTTTCTTGATGATACATTAACATTTGGCAAGGATCTCATCCTCTTTGTTCCATGATTGTTACCATCTTTGCTTTTTCAGTAAGTTTGAGGCCTGCTCAATAAGAGTCAGCACATCCTCACTGACTTGGCACTCAGAAGAGTTCATCCTCAAGGCAAACTACCTGAAATAAGGAAATTGCACCTTTAATTGAATTTTTAGGGTGCTGGAGAGATGGCTCAGTGGTTAAGAACACTGGCTGTTCTTGCAGAAGGCCTGGGTGTGAATCCCAGGACCCACATGGCGGCTAACAACCATCTGTAACTCCAGTTTCAGGGAGTCTGACTGCCTCTTCTGTCCTCCGGGGGCTCTGAATGGCCTGGGTGCACTTATACATCTGCAGGCATAACACTCATTTTGCCATTAAAACAGAACAAACTCCTATCATTTTGTTTTAAATATAAATTTTTATTTAAATTTTAATTTTAAGTGTTAAATGTATAAACTATAGATGTATAAATAAAATTATAAATTAATTTTTTTAATATAAACATTTTTATTGCTTTTAACTAAATTTTATTTGTGTGTGTTTGTGTGTATTTGTGCATATATGTGTAGTGGTTGCAAAAATGTATGTGAGGAGTGTGTGCAGTCCAGAAGAGTACAGAGGCCAAAAGAGGACATTCTGATCAGTCAAGCTCTGTCTTGTTCCTCAGAGCTGAGCTACTGGTCAACAAGTCCTAAAGGTTTTCTGTCTCCCCATTCCTTCACCATCCTCGGTGCTGGGGTTACATGTATGTATACTACTGGGGTTACATGTATGTACACTTCCAGACCCGGCTTTCTATGTGGGTGCTTGGGGTTCAAACTCAGTCTTTATGCTTGCTCATGTATTACCCACTTAGTAACCCCACAAGCCTCCTAGGAGGTATTAACACTTTAAAGTGCCTAACCTGTAGGTAGTCAGGAAACAACTTGGTTGTTTTCTAAATGAGAAAGTTGAAGTCCAGAGAGTATAGTCAGCTGCAAGCTAAGCATGACTCAATACATCTCATCAATGAGGGTGCCAGACACTGTGCCAGACATGGGCACACAGAGTTAGCAAGAAATATGTATTGTGTCTGTACAGCCCAGGATCTTACCAGGGAATGAAAGCATCATTAATAAACCTGGAATTCAGAATTATAAGTGAGCAAGTTATTTTTTAACAACCTCATTAAAATATGAGGAGGATCCCCCTTCAATGAATTGGAGAGCACATATACTTAGTGGAAAATACTAGACCAAAGCCTACATTTTCTCCATTCTAGTCCAAGGCTTCTCTTCTAACATGCTAGAAAAATACTGAAGTTTTAAGATTAAAAAAAGAAAAATCCTGGAATACTTTGGTGAATACAACATATAATAGAACCCAAAGAAATACACAAGTCTGATTCTAAAATGTATTTTTGGCAGTTTAGAATTTACACGGAAAATAATATTTTTGGAAAGTAATTTGCTATCAATAATTGATTTCTATAAAATTAATAACTAAAAAATGATTTGTATGTGGTAGCATATATCTGCAGTTCCAAATCATAGACAGCAGAGGCAAGAAGATTGCCAGCTGTCCTAAGGTGATCTGAGCTACACTGTGAGTACCAGGCAAACCAGGGTTACAGAGCAAACTCCTGTCCAAAAAAAACGCCAAAACAGAACAAAATCTTCCTTGTCTAAATTCTTTCACTGAATTTTTTTAAATCACAGATATATCCCCCTCCTACTTCCTCCTCCTCCTCCTCCTCCTCCTCCTCATCCTCCTCCTCCTCCTCATCCTCCCCCTCCTCCTTCTTCTCTTGAATAATCCAGGGCATACAATAAGCAGATTAATATCTACACTGATCATTTTACCTGATAAACTAGTCCATTGAGTTTGGCATATGGTCATCCTTCAGAAGGAATAAACATGTCTACAGAATTTGGATGTTACTACAGAATCTATTGTCAGTTTGGCATTCTATTATTTTGTAGATACAGGTGGTAGAAGCTTTCATTCAGCTCTCAAGTGTGAGCACTGAAGAATCTGTCCTCAGTCACGTGTCACTGGCATTGTGGAAGTCAGTCCTCAGATATAAAATACACCCACACAAGTCAATGTGCTTCCTTAGGATATATATATACTAAAGAAACTACTAAGGCCATGGTTCTTTTTAATTAGAACATATTTAGTATATTTCCTGGTTTTTATCACCTAACAATACCTTCTATTGTAGTAAAAAACAAAACAAAACAAGTTAGTCACAGTCTGAATGCAAGCTGTCCTCTTTCTGACATCACAAGACATCCTGAGCCAGGTGCTTGCTAGTCACTGAGTTCACTACACACATTCCTTGGGTATTCATGCAGGCTACTGTGATTCCAGGCACACAGTTCACAGTGAAGGCAAGAATAATGAATAATAGAGAAGGCAGGATCCATTGCATTTGTCCATCCTATTAATTCTTCTTTTGCCAGATTTTGGTAATCATCTTGACTATTAATTCCTAATTGAAATAAAGACTGAGAAAGGCTACAGTTATCTACAAAGTCAGAATTTAATTAGCAAGCAAGATGGGTGATTTGATATTGTATAAATCATCAGTAGCACTGATTATTTATCTCTACATAATTCTTCACACATATTTTATGTATTGTGGATTTAATTAAAAGTCCTACTGGCCAGCTCCTACTCCAGTTTCATGATCTCTCTAAAGGGCACTCTTTTGGTGATGTCTGTTCCAACCACCCACTCAGAAGTGAACACATGCTCAGTGAAGTCAAATGCTTGCTGCTCACTTGACTTTTCACGATCCCTTTTGTTGCACCAAAAAGCAAAGATTATTTTACCTTTAAAACTATCAAACATTCTAAGCACAAATAGGTACCTGGAAAATATTTATTAAACTGAATATGTGTGTAGCTAAGTTTGTTGTTATCTTCTTCTTATTTAACCATCATTGGACAAATTCTACTTATGAGTTTGACTTCTGTTAATTTATAGATTTATTAAATATGGCTAAATTGAAGCTGTCATCTGTAATCCTGATAAATTCCTCTCTAGTTAAGACCTGAGTATGTAACTGACTGGTCTTCACTCTTCACTTAAAAATGTTACATAGGCATTTATAGTATTAACAAAAAGCAACTGAGTACTAAGTTTTTGAGGCAAAAGCCTCAAACAACATTCAGCTAAACTTATAAGCAAACAAAACAATGAAGTAAATCAGAGCATCACAACTTAATTTTTTATAGACTCAGCAAAGTCTTTCTGAAAATTAAAAGCTATCCTGTGATGATCTAAATTGAAAACAGAGGTTGAGTACATACTTTGTTTATATACTTTACATCATTTCCCTCTGAGGCACTAGGATGTAAAATATAGTGGGGGGAAAGTAGCATAGTAATCTTAGTCCATGTTTTTTTGGAGCAGTTAGATCTATTTGAGTGTATCTAGTTGTTCCAAATATCCGCAAATCATCTTAGAATAACCATGCTTAATAGGAAATAGAAAACAGCAGGACTGTGATAATGACCGAGATTCATTAAGATAGTCTCATGTTTTGATTAGCACTGTAGCTTTCTTGATTAATTTCAAGAAACTTTCTGTAACAGGATATTTAGTAGTATGTAATCTTTGCCTTTGTAAAATGTACTGAATGCTAGTAAAAGTTAAGATTTTTGTATTCTTGAGAACAAGTAACAATTCATTCACAATATAAAGCAGATTGAAGAAAATATTAAATTTGGTAACTATGTAAATTCTGATTGATGTATAAATGCTACAAACCATCCTATTTCAATACAGCACTGAATTTAAGTTTTAAAATATGGAATCTGGAATTTGCATACTGAATTCCTTCCCAGCAAAAATGTTAAAAGAATACTTGTTAGGAATTTCACTGTGATTTCAGCTTGCATTGTGTTATTAAAACAAATCAAGTGAAATGGTAAAACATTTAAAATGTTCTTTCAGGCTAAATGAAAGTAATATAAGATGCATTTCTATAAAGAAATACTAAACAGATGATATAGAGATTTATTGGTAAGCTGAAATCAGTCATTGATAGCCTCCCAGCTTATTGGAATTATAAGAATTTGTTATGGAAAGAGCCAGAAAGAAAAAAAGGTAACAGAGTTTGTAAGAAAAGTCCATCATTTAAAAATCCATAAGTACATTACTTCAAATAAAAACTGCACTTTTTGCTTCAGAAATAGACAAGGAAATGTATTTAATTTTTTTTACATGCCATTGCCACGGAAGTTAAGAAACATCCTTAAGAGAAAATATTATCAAAGCTCCTGAAAATCCTGTTTCAAAAATCTTGAAATACACAGGACACCGTGATTTTTTTCTTCAGTTGCTTACAATTTTTAAGTTAAATTGTACACAGGAATTTGAAAACAGTCAGTGTATTACTAACTGTAGATAGATACGCTGCATCAATTTTCTGAGAGGGATGAGTATATGGTGACATAGCTTTGCTTCATTCTCTCCACAAATAGCTATGGAGATATAAGCTGCAACATTCACCATACTTGAGTGCCAAAACAAATCTAAATCTTGTGGTTTTATTTTTACATCCCATTACATTTGGTACAAATTCAAATGTATACATGGAAAATTACACTGGGCAATCTTATTTGCTTCTGTAGATTATGGAAGGAAACAAATTGATTTATGCTATAAGGAATTTATGCTCTAGCATTCAGCAGTCTGTTTTACACACTTGCAAAATTTCTAAAAGACCATTTTATTTGCAGCTTGTCAACCAGGCTTCTACAAGGCTTCTGATGGTACTGCAAAGTGCGCTAAGTGTCCACCGCACAGCTCAACACATGAAGATGGTTCAATGAACTGCAGGTGTGAGAATAATTACTTCCGGGCAGACAAAGACCCTCCATCCATGGCTTGTACCCGTGAGTAGTTCTGCTGCAAGCCATGCTTCCATGTTTGGTTTGATTTGTTTTATCTTCTTACTTTATCCTCTTGTGGCTGTACTGCTTGTTTTTGAGAGAGAGAGAGAGAGAGAGAGAGAGAGAGAGAGAGAGAGAGAGAGAGAAAGCATTTGCCCATTCCTTCTATTATCCATGTGCAGACTAACAGCTTTCTCAGCTTCCCTCTCCATGCTTGGCTCATCACAAATGCAACATTTTTCACACAAAATGAATTAGATTTTAAAGTACTTCCTGCAATGCGAACCACAGAAAGAAAGAAGGAAAGAAAGAAAGAAAGAAAGAAAGAAAGAAAGAAA